ATTGGGAAAAAAAACAAATTTTCTGTTGTGCCGTTCTCGGCTTGTCTTTGCAATTGCACCTTTATCAGTGGTTACATTTATTACAATAGCTGCTCCCAATCCCTGCTACTAATGAATGAAAATCTAATTTAACAAAAAGGCACGCTGTAGGATTTTAATATTTAAGATGTAGGGCCCCTATCCCTCTTGTCATTAAGCCTTCCATTAATAAATGGCTATGGGTCCGTCAGTTGGAAGTTATTCAAAATCTCCGTTTATTTAAAAGAGACTGTATTAAGAGAAATGTTGACATGGAAGTGCAGTGGTCAAGACACTCTGTGGCGTCAAATATTGGTGCGTAATTTATCAAATCTCAAGTCAATTTTAGACTAACAATGTACGTTACTTAAATGATACCCCTTTTAATAACGGCGTAGGTCTAATCAGTAAACTCGCTGACAGTTATGTAAGAAGAGATATTAGAATTGAACACGTGTAAGAAATGAGATTGCATGGACATAAGACTTCAGTGATCATTTTAGATGAATCGAAACTCTTTGCAGGCGGAAAAAATATCCTTTTTAATAAAAAGTTTATACTTTGAACAGTAAGACCCAACAATGCCTACATTAATTGTAGCTGTTTAAATTTCAGATTGATAATTAGACCCAACGCGAACGTGCTTGGGCGATTTTGCTACCATGCCAGACTTTTACTTTTCAAACATTAATTTTATCAATATCATATGAAAGAAGAACATCGTTACAGATATCCGTTTCGAACGATGCCTGTGGACAGCAAATCATGAGTTTGCATGCATGTTTGCTTTGCCTTGTTTGCTCAGGTCATTCGATTTTTGTTTTGATCTAGAATAAAAAACAATAAATATTGCAAATGTATTTAGACTAAGAGAATTGTTTTTGGTTTGTATTTGGTTTACTTACAATTAAAATTTAAATGATTATGCATTTCTCCAGTGGCATTGTTAAGATACGCTGCAGTGTAGGCTATTGCGATAGATGTGCCTGTAGCGCATCCTTCATTGCGCCAATAACCGGAAGTATACGATAGCCGCCATGTTGACGGGTGAGGACACTGCATTTCAATAATTCTCTCGCATACACAGCGTAGTTATTGATAAGCGGTTATCTTCCAATTTATTACAGTTATATGTGACGCGATAGTTGGATTATATATATATTATAGATTGTTTTGATTTATAAATACGTTCAGCTCTCTCTCTCTCTCTCTCTCTCTCTCTCTCTCTCTCTCTCTCTCTCTCTCTCTCTCTCTCTCTCTCACACACACACACCACGTACAAATACACGTACTATTTTTAGTGGTTATAACATTGACTTCATAGTAAAGTTTATATAGTTACCTACATAAGTAAATGTCATAATAAAGATAGGAATGTTTTTGCTGGATCAATTCAGTGATTTTCCCGTTGAAATATAATCTGCATGATACTTCATTTTGATGACTTTTTTTTCAGTTGTACTGGAGAATAGCAGTGCGAAATTTTCCTAATAATCAAACAGACTCAAGAAATATTGCAATCATGTCATAGTTATGTTGCATTTACCCAGTAAACTATAACAGACATTCAAGCACCCAACAATGGCAAATGAAAAGATCACCCTACCAGACGCTCTCCAGAATGTGGATGTTTTGGATGAGCTCCCACTGCCTGATCAGCAGCCACACATAGAAGCTGCCCCCATTCCCATTCACTACAGAGCCAATCTTGACACTAACTTTGAAGACAGAAGTGCATTTGTTACTGGGGTAGCAAAATACATCGAGGAGGCAACTGTTCATGCAAATCTGGTGAGTTATTGTAATTGAGTGGTGGGGTGGTTCAAATTTGACCCACCCTTGAAACTAAAATTGCGTGGTAGATGATTTTATTCTCCTAAAACATTCTGAGTTATCATATTTCATAACTACTAGGTTAAAGTAGTGAAAACCATGAATGCTGAAATGCGTGGTGAATTGCATGTGTATTCTCTATAATAAATAATATAAAATAAAAATAAAAATATAAAAAATATTAAAATAATGCTGAATTTTTAACAGGTAACTTGATTGTTCTTTATTGGTAATGTTCAAAGTCTATTGTGCCATATAAAGTAGTACTTGGTGACAGTTTCACACATACTGGGAGTGATAAAATATGATAAAATGGATAGCTCTGTCCCCGTCACCATTAATAGTGCAATCAGAGTTCTGATTAATCATCCACAAATTGGTGTCAGAAGGATGAGAGAAGTTCAGAGTTTTAGTCTTTTCGGTCACTGATAAAAAAGTACACTGCATAGATACATAAATGTCAACACCATAGCTCTTTTGCTAAGTGTGAACAATGTGGAAATCTCAAAGAAGATTTTAGCACTGATGATCTTCAGAAAGTTACGGTTTCTCTTATTTCACTTTTGACACGAGGAATCCTTTCTTTCTTGTTGCAAAAACTTTCTTTTCACTGCCTGCCTGGTGATTACATATTTTTGTGGAATTTTTCATCAAGTGAGGGCATTGATTCTCTTCTGATTTAACTTTAAGCATCTTCCCATGAGTTTCCTTGTCTTCTGTAATTCTGGATCAATGTTCAGCTGCGTGAAGGAATGCCTATCTCACTGCTTTTGAAAACTCGTCTGAAGGTTTTTGTTTTTTAATCTTTTTTGCATCCCCATTTACTGATAAAGATTTTGGCTTTTTTTTTCTTTTTCTTTTTTTTTGTTTTCACCGTACAATTTCCTGAAGTCCATGTACTAGTACTGTGCCATTACATAGAGAGCATTCCCTCCAAAATATCTTTTTACTCCTCCACCAATATCTTGGTACTGCATTGAAAAAACTCCTTTTCTTCATAAAATTTGTATCTGAAATACTGAAGGAAAATTATGAAAATTGTATTTGACCCATTTCAGAATAATAGAGAATTTGCAGGGTCTTCATTCTGTGACCAAAGCAGCACTCCATGTAGGGTGACTCTCTATTGCAATAGCCAGGCTATAAGTTGTCAAACTCTCAAACTGGTCGTCCGGACACAGGAAAATGTACCGCTTAATGTGAGATAGGCTAAGTCTTGAGTGAGAATAGGCCTGGTCTATTCTTGGTTTAAGTTACTCATAATTTAAGTTAGTCCTATGTAAACAGACCCAAGAATAATAGTAAACCTGTACCACTATCTGCAATTTGAACTTGCTCACAGTTGAGTTCATCTGTCTGGTACTTACCCTCTACCAGGGCTGCAGATTAATTGATGGCTCTTTTCTCCAACTCAGTGCAGGAGGGTGCCATCAGTTAACCAGAGACATATCTGTGAATATCTTGTGAAAAAATCAATCTGTGGCCCTGGTAGAGGGTATCTGGTACTTACCACTTAACTGTCATTGTAACAATACATAGTTTGATTGAGGGACTGCCACTGATATCGATAAAGAGATAATTGTCCTCAACCAATTATAGTTAGTTGATGTATGCACGTAGACATGTTGTATTTAATCATAAGATACAGTATAAACTTACAACTGGGTTGTCAAACATATTTGATATTATTCAGATAAGGATTAAATTAAACATTGTCAGTTAACGTGCATAGTGGATATGAATTATGTCGTTAAAATGTGTACTTATCATATTAAAGTGAAAAGTTCACCAGGGATCCATTAGTGGGAAACATAACAATGGTTTACATGTATTTGAAACCGATAAAAAACTGGTATGACTAAGAAGGTATCAGGAGCCCCTTTAACAAACCACAGACTGGACCAGGTTAACAGGTTTTCTGTTTAAGTCTGTAAAGACCTTTTTGTGAACAAATTGCAGAAGAATTGGAGAGAGTGAGAGAGAGAAAATGACAACAAATTTACCTTTCTCAGCCCCCCCCCCCCCCCCCAATTGTCTTAACTAGTTTTATTAATGAATAAAGAGCTCTGATATATATTTTAACTAAATGGGTTACTAGTAGATGAGTGTTTTGGCCTAGATTTGGAATGTTTATATGTGAGCAGTAGAACTCAGGAAAAAGGGGTAACTGTTATGCTGTGGGAGGGGTATCAATATAAAGTAGAGTACATTGTATTCTTATCAGATTGCCATGTGCCGTGATAGGATTCCCTGTCATGTGACCATTATAATTCCTCTGTGATAATAGTGGAGAAAGTTTCGGACAGGAAAGTATTTCAGGGGACTGGCGTGGGAAATTGCTATGTTGGTTAAATAAGGAAATTTTGTTGATGATGTTTGTTTGGACGAGTATGAAGTATCTTGCAGAAAAAAGAATTTTTGTCCTGATGAAAGCATGATGGAATGACTTATATTATGAAAGAGCCGTTTGTATTTGCACGATATTCTAAGTCAGTAGGTTTCAAGGGGGCTGAAGAGTTTGTGCTAATCACATGGTATGTGTTTTGGTTGAAAACTCCCCAAATTCTCATCTTATTTTGAACAAACCATGGGTTTACTGCATAAAGATTGCCAGGCATAAATATCATACTTTTTATAAACTACAGAATACAATGAGTTGGATGGCACATTCTATTTGAAAGGAAATTGGGAGAAGATAGAGTTAGAGCTCAGATCATTGCACATGAACTCTGTATTGTATAGTGACAAGGAGAAGATTGTGGTTTTATATCGGATCTGTAGCGTGTAATTTGGCCTGCTTTGATGAACACAAGATGCTCATAAAGATGATATCTTACTGGGTTGATAAATTATATATGTACTGTAATGTGTGTCGGAATTCCAAAGTGAATGTGAATATATGAAAGATATTAAGACCTAAGTTTGAGTTTATGAAAATTCAATAATAAGATCCAACACAGTGTGCACTAACCTCATTTTGTAAGGAAGGTATTTTTCTAGAAAAAAGCTCATCTTTATGATCCCCCTCATATGCTCTATATTCTCTATTAGTTCTATTAAAAATATAATTTTGGTATAATGCCTTTAAGTATGCACCCCCACCACCTCCCCCTCCCCCTCCCCCCAAAACTTGTCAGTACAACCCTTAGCTCATTTATATGGCAGATTGTTTTGAAGTAGTTGGGAACAGTAGGACTGAAAAATTAGGTGTACCAGGTTGTTTTTAGCCCAGAAATTTCCTACCGAATTGGAGATAAAAGAAGATCTCAGAGGGGCAAGTTGTGATTGATAGATCAAAGGGGTGATTCATCTTGTCAACCCCTGCTGAATTCAAATGAGAGGCAGTGGAGAGGGACAGAGTTGTGTCTTTTTTTGGTGAGCTGCACCCAGGAAGTTGATTCGTGGAGGCGTTGTCAAAGTGAGAACAAGAGTATCTAGATAAAGCTTGATTCAGGAATTTACAGTGGATTTATACAATTACATTGTGGAATTTTCCCTAATTGGGGAACTGGCAGCTAGAGCAGAGAAATCCTTACATTATTTGTGAAGTTGATGCAGTGAAGGCAGTGTAGGGGGTTGGACCAGCTGGAAGATAAATGAGGAAGTTGAAAGTGGATTGTTACAAGTTCTCTATTGTAATTTTCCTTTCCTAATTAATGTTAAAGCTGCTAGTTAAAGGAAATCGGACCAATTTTGCGGATATGCACATAAAGACAAGTTCCTGAAATAAGGTTAAGATATACCTACAGGCTACTTGTGCTAATGAAGAAATTGGTTTTAAGTTATATTTCACATCAACTCACATGAATATCAGTACAATTTGACAGTATAACTGGCTACATAGAGGATTTACATTAAATGTACTACACATTATAAGGAGCACCAGAAGTTTTAACTAATATGTCTAAGTGCCAAAAGCTTCTGCTGTCAATATATCAACAAAATACATGTATGTAACATGTGGTCACTGATATACCTTGTCAGTGCAGTTGTCGGAGAAAAAGAAAGGAGGAACTTGATTACTGCATGATACTATACGGTGATGTGAAAACAGTCTGTCTTTGTGCATGTAGATATTAAGTCACTTAACTGTGGAGAAAATGATTGTTTGGTTCCGAATAAAAAAGTTGATGAAGGGTTACACCCACCTCATTTCCGTTGGAGTACAAGGACTATGAAATACAGACAGAACTTGCTGCAGAAGTGAAGTCAAGATATATAGTACACAGACAGTTGGGAAAAAAGGAATTAAAAAAAACTTACCGCAAGAAAAAAAACAAGCATGGATTTGAATGAAGATGGAATGCTGCCTCCACCCCCACAGCTGGACCTAGACCTGGACCTTGACGGGATGCTTCAGGCGCTGTCCATTGGGGGTGCTTCCAGCAGTGGTGGTCTTCCTCCTCCTCCGTCACCCCTAGCACCATCACCACTAGCACCGTCACCACCTCCTTCTCCTCCTCCTGGTACGACTGCCATAGCCAGTGGTGAACAGGACTGTGAACAAAAGCAGGCTATAAACCACACACCTGATGCCATTAGTATTCCTGGCGCAGTCACAAACATATCCTCTCCATCTACTGATAATGACGAGGTCATAAATGAGAGAGGTCTCCACCAGCACACACACACAAACAATACTGATGCTGACAGGACCACAACACAGAGCAGCCAGGATGGTGATAAGACTGTTCATACTGAGGCTGGAGTGGCTATAGATGTCACACCACCTGCACCTGACCGAGACAGGCCAGATCAGCTGTGGCTGTCACCCCCTAGTAACCAAACCCTGCCACCCCCACCATCCCCTCTGTTACCTCCACCCTCACCACTTCTTCCACCCCCACCCTCACTCCTAGAGGGTGCTGATAGTGACAGTTCGAGGGGTCCCCCTCTACCAGGGCCACAGCCTGGAGCTCCAGAGGCAAAAAGTGGACATTCTGTAGACACAGAGAGTAGAAACGGTAGGATGGAGAGAGGAAAGAAGGTTGCTGGCGAGGAGACAACGGCTACCGGGGAGGTGGCGGAATACAAAAAGGAGCCAGATTTTGAAGAGTTCAAGCTCCTGATGTGGGACGAGTACCAGCCCCGGGTGCAGTCCCAGTCCATGCTGTGTGTATATCACACCAACATGGACACCAAGTTTGTAGACAGGTCGGCCTTCATCACTGGCATGGCCAAATACAACGAGCAAGGCATGCTACAGGCACAGATGGTAAGATGTATGTCAGATACACTCAGCCTAGAATCGTGTGTGGAATGTCAGAAATAATTAATGATTTTTTAAATGGTTTATTTTAAAACTGCAACAGATAGTAGTATACGATAAAGGGCTAAAAACTAAATTCATCTTTATAGTTTTATACTTTATAAAAGGGAAATTTGTTGTTTGCAGTAGATGATATTGGCCCACCCTCTTTTTACTTGGGGAGAGATGGTTGGGGTACTGTGTGTGTGTGTGTGTGTGTGTGTGTGTTTTAAAGATACTTCAGTATGTTAAAAAACAAAAAATGCACCAAGGAAAAAGTATATTGCAAAACAAATTGGTTAAAATAAAAAAAAAAAACAAGGAAATTGTTAATAAACGGTTTATTCAAGGTATGGCTTAGACTTTTGTACATAAAAGTATATTTTTATACATGTATACTTTTTCTGCATATTTATGTAAGTTGGGTGTAAGTTTTTTCCCTGTTTTAAATGCTTTCTGTACATATAATCTTACACAGTATGATCTAGGCCAGGAATACTTGCAGTTATGTGTCAGGCAGGTAGTAAAGTCAGTAATGAATTTCAGTCTCGCCCCTCTTAGCCTAGGGCCAGAATGAATAGCTTCAATAATTGAAAAATGGCTGTGTAGATAAGTTACATATAAATAGGGAAGATACCTGTGTGCTGATAGCTATAACTTCATAGTTTGATAACACTGAAAAACATTGAGAGATAAGGTTGATTTAACAATAGGGACCATTGTACATACACTAGTCAAAGTCACTGTAGAATTATTTTTTTTACTAGACTAGTACTGTTTTTATCCTCAAACTAAAAATTTTCTGCCCTTTTTTTTTTGGGGGGGGGGGAGGGGGAGGGGGTCTGAGTGTGTGGGGGGGGATGGAGAGGGCAGGATGGGGTAGTACTGAAGTCGACTTCTCTGTCTTAATTATTGGATATATTTATTGGTGAAAATGTGTCATAGGGGTGGGGATAATAAGTGCAAAAAGGGACTGAAGAAACTGCATTTGGTTTTCTTAATGGCTATGTTTAAAGTCTTCTTCACATGACTTGGTCAGTTAAAAGGACTTGATGGCACACATTACATTTATTTAATTTGAATTATTACTAGTATGCTTATCTAGCTATATTTACTACTTTAATGGAATGAGAACATTTTCAAGTTTTAATGAAAGGGTGCTCTCTTGTGAGTAGAGGTACAGTCATTTACCTTTAAAGGTCGCATTCACAACAGATGATCCTTAGATCTACTGGTTGACGGATCAAATATGACCCTACATGAAAGCAAGATGGCTTATTGCCTTTATGTTCTCCCTGTCTCCACACATGCCTTCACTACAGGGGCCTAGCAGATAAACCTCAAGGTCGAAATTTAATCCATGTGTGGAGGCATCAAGACCATTAAAGGATTAGGCAGTCTTGCTTTCATATAGGGTCGGCCATATTTGATCTGTGGACCAGTAGATCCAAGGATTATCTCTTCTGAATGCGACCATAGTTTGAACTAATTTTTTTTTTCAATTATATATCGAAAAACTGCTCTTTTACTGAGATAAATATGGAAAAAAATTTTTAAAAAATATTTTTGTGATAAATAGGAAATTTTAATTCATATGAAAATTATAGTAGATGTAAGGGAAAAAAGTATAAATTGATGTAGTAATTACAGTGTGTAATATGACCAAGCTGGCACTCACCTATAAAAATCTACAAATTATGTAGTAGCACAGAATAATAATAAAAAAAAGATTCAAATGAAATGTCAAATTTTCTCCAGTTTATTCTAGCTTTTGTCCCAGCTCATCTTATCTTGTAATACACAGTCTGTGAGAAATAAGTACTAGTAAATTGTTTTTTAATCACAAAAAAAGTCTCTCTTGGAGGCCAAAATAGGGTTAAAATTTGACAGGTGCAAAGCACTACCACAAGGTTAAATGGTTTGGGATGAATAATTTTGAAAATAAATGCTCTGGTGGCTTGGATAAGTGGAAATATTTTAGAACCACAAGAGCTGTACTGTAATAGTGGGTGGACGGCTAGCATGAAACACTGATGTTGATTTATAGGAGATATTAGCCAGTCTAGTCTGTGTTGCCTGTACTTATACATTATTAGTCAATGCACATACACACACAAACACACACATTGTAAAACGAAAAAAAATTCAACCTGGCAAATAAGCCATAAAATAAGATCTGATGATGGCAGTTTGTCCTTATCTTTAAATTTGTTGACAATGTACTTCATTTAACTATTTGGCAGTATAGTTTATGTCTACCTTGTAAATAAAATGTATTGAATGTGGTTATCTGTGCGGATGTAAACCATCACTGGATGATAAACCCATCAACAGTGGATTTATAATTCATATGTAAGCTGTAATTGATACATTTTATGTATCACATATCCTGGTTCTGTTGTCTTTACTAGCATCAACAGAGTGGTTATTGAATGTGCTGTTAGTGGAATGGGTGACAGATTCTATTATATGATAAGGATGGAGACCTTTTTGGTGTTATTGATCATTGACCTTTTAATGTATATTCTACACTTATTACACACACTGTGTGCTATGTCAGATGTGGATGATCCAGGACCCAGATAGTGCCTATATTAGGTCCTATATATTATATCCTAGGTTTTATGTCAGATAATGATAACAGTTATTAAATATAGCATGTGCAGTTACAGCAAGAATAATAGCTTGTAGCATGTATTTTGTTTGAATTGATTTCGGTGCTGCGTACCTTAAAATGTCAGCCAAATTTGGTTTAAGGGTTATATTTTTTATCCCTGCAAATATTTTTTGAACTATTTAATCTTGCCATGGGTCCAATTTATGTAAAAGATGGACATTAAAGGGGGTCTTGATGATTTAGATACTTTAAGAAACTCTTCAAAGAAACCTAATTTAATTTTGCAAATTTTCTCATTGATACCAGGGCATACCTGACAAAAATATGTGGAAAAATTAAGGTCAATTGAATTTGATAGGTTTTTGAGATCAGTTTTGGGGAAAAACAACATTTTTCATTCCTGATATTTGAATCTTAATGCATACATGTATTATTGGATACATGACTGCAAGTCAGTTGCTATGTTATCTAAAGGTGGTAAAGGTCACTTTTGCATAAAAACAATGGACTGACAACAACACATTTTAATATGTTTTATTGACAAGACCCCTTTAAAGTTTTTCTTTTTAATTCCAGAATGAACTGTTGGAAGAAGGCCATGAGTATGCAGTTACTCTGTACACCTGGAGATGTTGCTCAAGGGCTTTGCCCCAGGTAAGGTTTAGGCATATAGGATCATGCCTGTCTGCATGTCTGGGTTGACGATGTCACAGTGGCTATGCTGGTATGGTTGTGAGTTTGCCAAGTGTGTGTGTGTGTGTGTGTGAGAGAGAGAGAGAGAGAGAGAGAGAGAGAGAGAGAGAGAGCATTTAATTTTGCTAGACTAAACAGAATGTGTGTATGTTTGCGTATGTTTGTATGCATACATATGTTAAATACATATGTTTATCATCCTATGTCCAATTGGTTAAAGATACATACAAAAAAACTGTTGGAATGTAGAAGTATTTGAGCACATATTTCTCATGATAACTTTTTAGATGTCCAGAAAGTAATAATAAAAAACCCCTCAAATTTAACACTTCCTAATGATGTAATATCTGTATATTATAAACAAAACATATATATATTATTTAACAATTTTTTTCAGGTCAAATCCAATGACCAACCAAACAGAGTTGAGATCTATGAGAAGACAGTGGAGGTTTTGGGCCCACAGGTGGCCAAGTTGATGGACTTTATGTACTTCCAGGTAAGGTGATGTGATTGAAACTCCATTGCCCAGAAAACTCATAATTTGATACATTGCAACAGTAACTTTATAGCAGTATTTATATGTTATGAACACTGTGTATACTAACATTTTTTGTTTGTGAAAAATAAAGAAAAGGGCACTGGGTAATGTATTATTATGTATTACAACAGTTACTGTAAAATGACTTCAGATCTTTTTTTTTTCATGATACAGACATTTTGTGCCATTTCAAAACTTAAGTTTCAATGACTTTTTTTATGGAATTTGCTTTCTAGAAAAAAGCAATTGAGCGTTTCTGTGGTGAAGTAAAGCGCCTTTGTCATAAAGAAAAAAGGAATGATTTTGTATCAGAGGCGTACCTACTTACTCTGGGGAAGTTTATCAACATGTTTGCTGTGCTGGATGAACTAAAGAACATGAAATCTGGAGTGAGAAATGACTACGCTGCTTATAGAAGGTAAGTCAGGGGTGAGGACCAAGTATAGTGCCTACAAAAACGAAGCCTGGATTGAATGACGTAGGTGACTACAAATCACTCTAAAAAATATAACCGTTATATGTTGATTTCATTTTTCAAATATACGGGTATTTGCCTCAGTGACTGTTGTTTGTCAAAAATATCTTTTCTCCAGATCTGCGCAGTTTCTAAAAGTAATGGCAGAACCTGAAGCCTTGCAAGAATCCCAGAACCTGGCTTTTTTCCTGGCCACACAGAACAAGATACGAGATACACTGAAGGAGACACTGCAGAGTATCCCCAATTTTGAGGAGCTGCTGGCTGACGTAGTCAACATTTGCATGGAAATGTATGAGAATAAACAGTACCTGTTGCCCAGTGAGAAACACATGCTGGTTAAGGTGAGGATATTGGGGATGAGATTTTTTCGATTGTTGGCCAGTTTCCCATTTTTTTGGAGCCAAAGATATCATTGGCCTAGGTGCCCCCCTAGACCCCACGTTATATTTCCCAACTTTTTCACTAAATGGCAGTTTCGTCCCTGGAAAATACAGCATGAGGATTTCCTTGTTTAGGAGATTTTTTAGTCCAACGTCAAATCATGAATCAGTTTGTATCTGATATATTTGAATATCATGACAGTTTAGTCATATAAATATATTATATAGAAGCATATCTGTTTGTTGTCAATGTGTTTCACTCATAATGTGACATAAGAAGTTTTTTTTTCAAGTGGCATTTTGTTTGACAAAGTATATTCCTTTCTTTATAAAAAAACGGTCTTAGTGCAGTCATTATATTCAACTTATCATGTAATATTAAGGTAATGGGGTGTGGCCTGTTTCTAATGGACAGCAAAGAGGTCAGCATATACAAGCTGGACAACAGGAAAAGAATCAACCTACAAAAGATTGACAGAATATTAAAGGTATGGAGCAAGTGAAAATTCTCTCTTGACATTTGGAATTCTTTTAAAGGATAAATTTGCATTTAACAATTGTACATAAGGAAATGTTTGATGCAGTACATTCTTTCAAAGGAGTTCTTGAGCAGAAGTCTCAGGTAATATGTACTACTGCAGTTCTATGCGATCTTGTTGTTTTATGTCACCAAAGCAATTTCTGTTGAATTATCTTTCTATCTTGTTTTATCATATTTAGCAATTAGAAATGGTCCCTCTGTTTGGAGACATGCAGATTGCTCCCTTCAGCTACATTAAGCAGAGCCCGACCTTTGACGCAACCAAGTGGCCTATGGCAATGTCCAGTGCAGTCAGCTCCCAGTCCAACCTACTGGGGAGTCTAGAGGCTATCAGAGATGACCATGTCAGATATATCAGTCAGCTGGCCAAACACAGCAATGAGGTGTGTGTGTGTGTGTGTGTGTGTGACTAGTGTTGTGGACAGTTAATATGTTCTTCTTAGTTAACATATCATAATAGTATCTCGTTGATTGCACAATCATTGCAGTTGAGAATTGCTTATGATATACACCCTGATCTTCCTCTTAATTCTACCTATTAGGGAAATTGTTTTCTCCTTCACAAAAATGACCTAGAAGAAATAGCCACCATACTACAATATTTTATGACTGATAATTTTTATCATGGCATACCCACTTTACTTTCATCCGCACCCCATTTCATACTAGCTTGTTCTTCTTATATCCCCAGATCACTACCACTCAGAGAGAGAACCCCAGAACAGACAGAGAGAACAAAGAACTATGTGAGCTGGCACTGAGAGGACTGCAACTACTCTCAGGATGGACTGTACAAGTCATGGAGCTGGTAATAAATGATAGGCTTTTCATGTTATTTTATCTCATATGTTATAAACAGAAGCCTCACTGTAAGATAATGTTTCAAATTTTTATATTAGAGTACTTTGTATTGACATAGAGCATTCGTCTCTATACTGTTTATTTATAATTGCAATAAAATGTAAAAACATTAATTTTGTAACATGGTGATGACTGAATACTTTGTATATATTTTTCAGATTAGGTACTACTATCACTGATATAACTAATGAATTTTTTTTGACAAAGTAAAGTGCCATAGGTGAACATAATTATTTAAGCAGTTACTCTAATATGAAGCATGCGCTTTGATATGAGTAAAAGTTACCATATCAGTTGTAAAATAGTGTTTGCTTGAAATGTATCAAGTAATCATAAAATACTTCCTTGACAACACTTACACCTTGATATATTGCTCTCACATAGACTTTTTACAGCATAGTCAGTTTGAAAAAAATAGTTAAGTTAAAAATAATTAAGTATTATTATTTTACAAGCACTTTTATGTAAAGTTCTCACTCTTGTATAAAGTTCAACTAGGGAAATGGAGTTGAATCTATGTGTCGCAACAGGCAAAATGGATACCCAAAGCCGGGATTTCATTTAATGTGGGAGGACACCCATTAAGTGAATTCCTGTGTTGTTTGTTGTTAACTTGTGAAATATTTATAGTATTCCTGGAAACTTCTCCACCCGGTGGACCAGCGCGCCAACCCGCATGTTCCACAGGACGCGGAGGAGTACGAGAGGGTAAGGAAAGGAGGGAGGTGCTGTGACTCGCTCCTCCCTGAGCCCACTGTAGTATGATGCTTGCTACCTACATGTTGTACACTTGTACATGTGAAGATCTCCCACTTGGTGGATGAGGTGAAAGACTGGGAATTATTTTTGAGAAATTGACGAACATTTCACAAGTTCTTTAAAAAATACATGAACGTTTTGGTTATTGGAGTAGGTGAATTTTATCTAAAATTTGGCCCTCATGTTTGCTGTCAAAGAGCACATTTTTACAATTCCAAAATATTTTTGTGTTTTTGTGCTTCCTCTTCCATCCAATGGGGAGATCTTCATCATGTACAGAGTGTAACTCAATGTGTAGTCATGGCAGCAGTTATAGCTGTTCATCACCCACAAACTCATTTGTACTGTATTTTTATATTGCTTTTGTTATTCATTTCTTTGTAGTACTCCTGGAAGCTTCTCCACCCCACAGATCATCATCAAAACCCTTACTGCCCCACAGATGCGGAAGATTATGAGAGGGTCAGTCTGCGTGAGGGGGTGTGGTCAGTTGTGTGGTGTGAAGGGTTTATACTGACCCTGAACTACAGATTGCATGAGAGACCACTTCTTCATTTCGCCAATTTTTACACTTTGGAATCTCCATATGTGTCTGCTATGCTTATTGGACCTGTGACTATCTGATTCAGTGATGGTTGTTTGGAACTAGTCACAAATGCCCACAGACCCATCTAAATAGCCCTTTCCCTTCACATTTGTAATTGGTGGCATAATCTTGAAACCAATGCTGCTGTTTTCTAATTCCTCATTCTAATTCCCATGTACATCACATATGGAGATTTGGAAATGAAGGTGGCATGCATCTGGCCTGTTAAGCCTAGGTCCCAACCGAACGTACAGGCTGTTACGTGTGGTCTACAGCCAAAAAAATTGGGGAAAACGTGAGAGTTCGTGCGTGAGGAGCACTTCCATCGTGCGACTTTTGAAGGATGCAAACAGCACTTACAAACTTTTCGTCATGATCAACAGCTGCTTGATTCCTTCCCTGCGATCTAGCTATGTCCTAGCCGGATGCAAGGAACCTAAAAAAAACATGCATCCAAAACGTAGTTGGGACCTAGGCTTTACGGATGTAGCTCAGGGAAGTTTAACTGGGAGGTTGATTTAAAAATCAGGTGCAGGGATATTGTAACTGGACCATTGAGGTCAGGATATGGATGTGAAGTATTTGTGATCTTCAGACCAATTTAGTTTCAGTTCGGTTTCAATTCTTTCAATTCCAATCTAACCAAAAGTAGCAAACATACAATGGGTTAACCAAATTTTTGTTTAACAACAATTGTTTTAAATGACATAACAATTACAAATATTTAGAATTTGGTCTGTTTTGGTTGGTTAAAAAAGTGAGCTCCAAGTTTTTGTTAAGTGAATTATAACTAGATTTAACAATTTGAAACATTAAAAAAATGGGTCAATGGCATGGTTTTGAAGGTAGGAGGGAAGTAAGATTTTCCCTGCATCTGAAAGTAAACCCTGTTTACAAGATGTGAAATAATGATGGTGAAAGTACCATTAATAACATAGATTGTGCTGAATTCAGAAAGCTACAGCATGGCAATGAAACTATAGAATCTTAGTGACTCTGTGACCAAAAATAGACATATATATCTATCTGACTACTGCTCTAGGTTCTGTGTAACTCATTGGCTTTAATGTGAACATTCAGTCATTGGATTACTGCTGTGCTATGCTGTTCTAAACAGAATAGAAAAGGGAATCGGGTGGGGTTGATTGAATCATGATCAAGTTCACAGTCTTGTAAATGGCTTCAGGGCTTTAGTGCATGAATTACCCAGAGGTGTTGGTGAGGCATGCTGGCTGTCTAGTGCTTTAGTACCCAATTCTTATGTGAATTATCCCACTGGATGAGCCTATAGCAAGCTTATGAGATATCTTCTCATTAGGTGCGTACTAAATAAAGCACTGCTTGCGAGTCTGGTATACACCATAGCATGCTGAGCAAAAGCAAGGCATGCAATCATGTATATTGGACCAGGGGTTAGCAGTGCATTATTTGTCATACATGCATACAAAGGGAAATTGTACATGTTTCCTAGGTCAAAAGCCCTAATTTTGAATAGAATATGCTGATATCATAGGCTGGTATCAGCCCCTCTATATGATAATATGTACTTATAGATAATCTTAACTTACAGTAAAGAAAAATGATACTATGTAATTCTGTCTACGTAAGGAATGTTGCAGTTGGGAGCATATTCTCAAAATTTTGACTGCCAGCATGCATTAGATAAGGGAGAAGACAAGAGACATATCACCTTTACTGAGATAATGCATGTATATTGTGCCTATAAGATGACAACATCTCTGGACATTTCAGGCATTTTGTGTGTGTTTCTGTATTGATTAAGGGTTGGTGCATGTTCCCAGCATTATTAGCCTTCACATATTTTTACCTGATTTTGTAAGGAATGTGCTAGATAATTGATCTTAACAACTTTATATATGAAAACCTATTCTGCCTTGGTTATGAATTCTGTGAAAATGTCCTGCATTTTCGCCTGTTTAAGTTTGCTGCACTGTAATTGAAGTAGAAAAATTATATTTTTATGAGTGCCATGTTCAACTTCTACTTGCTAGTTCTTTACATATGGGATTCGGTAGATAGAGTAAAATGATATATATGTGATTATAAGTCACTTGTAATTAAAGTTAACAGTAATGTTGAATATTTCAAAATATCATTGGACAACTGATAAAAAGAAACAATGTGATATCATTTCCAAAGATATTTAGGTCATCTCTGTAAGAAATGCTCATTTTCATAGACACTTCTCATTTGCATGATGTTGTACTTACACTGTTGGTTTATGCATGCTGGGATGGTGCATGTTTTGGTTGCATGTTTTGGTTGCATGAGTTCATCCCTTATATTCCTTGGTCCTAACTCGATTTCAGTGTTTTCATTTTTCAGTTTCCTTTCTCAGCATAATTTATTGATTTTCTTGTTTCAGAGATTTGTTGCTATATTTTTTCATCTGCAGTATAAATTGAATATCAGTTTATAAGATGAATACCTTTATTGTTGTTACTTATAATCTCTTAAATTTGATTAATTTCGTTCATTTGTAATCATTTGTTTGAAGTTTCCAAGCTTTCTAATTTGTATGTTAACTTTTTGTTTGATAGATTATTTTGGTTTTTAAACATTTAGCATCATAGCATGCAAAGCAATATTTATTGTTTAAAACCTCTGCATTTGTTGTAAATAGGCAACGAGGTACAACTACAACTCCGATGAGAAATTTGCCCTGATCGAGGTGATAGGAATGATCAAAGGGCTGCAGGTGCTCATGGGAAGGATGGAGTCTGTATTTAACGAGGCAATAAGGCGGAATATCTATGCAGAACTTCAAGACTTTGTGCAGATTGGGTTACGAGATCTCCTAAGAAAGTCCATCAAAAACAAAAAGGAGGTGATCAGGACGTGAGTGAAGTCTGATTGAAAAAGAATCTAATTGGCCCTGTAATAAGACATATGAGAGAATAATATCTTAAGATTTTTATGTACAGATGAAATCATGATGGAAGGATGTGTCAGAATCAGTGATGTTGAATGATTTACTGTGATTAAAAACTGGAGTTTGATTTAGTTTGTGTTGGTCAAATAATCTTCATGTTTCAAGATTTATGTGCTGATTTGTAATTTATTAGTAAGCTTTTATTTACTGTTTTCACACTTGTAAGTTTTAAATAATAGTATTACCCAAGATTCAAGATTGTCACAAATTTCTTACTCTAGAATTCTGATGTCTGTGAGAGAGACATCTGCTGATTGGCTGAGAGGAGTAGAACCCAAAGACGACCCTGCATTGGCCGGCAAGAAGGATCCTGATGGAGGGTTTGCTATTAAAGTGCCCAGGAGGAATGTGGGGCCATCTAGTACACAGGTAAGTCTTCCAAGCACACACACAGTAAATCAAATAGTGTCAGGTGTCTTGTAGATGAAATGTGGCAATATTAATGGTTACCCATAGCTTTCCAAAATTCGAAAGTCCACTCTGTGTGTGTCTTGGCAATATTTGGTTAAATTATGTAAATGGGCAAAGCTGTTGCTAAGGCTTCAGATAGTTTCATTAGAAGATGGGGGTGGTTTATAGTGTTTCGGTTAATATAACCTGCTTCTGATTTATTTAAGTGGAGTAGTGGGACATTTGTTTCTACATTTCTAGATATGCAGCAAAAGATAAAATTGCTGTAAACTATTGGTTGTGGTGATAATGATAATTTATTCTTCAAAATTTTCATTTTCAGTTGTACATGGTACGCACTATGTTGGAATCTCTGATTGCTGATAAGAGTGGAGCTAAGAAGTCACTTAGGAAAGACATTGAGCCCAAGGATCTGGCAGCCATTGATGCCTTTCACAAGACATCGTTCTTCTGGAGCTATTTGCTGAATTTTAGTGGTAATTTTAAGATTTGTGTAGATAATTAGTTTCATTGAATCAGAAAAAGCATGCTCTTTAAAGAATGTTCTGTGAAGAATGTTTTAGGATACGTTTTTGCAGTGGAAGATAGATGTGATGGTTTTGGAACTGATGTTGCCATTGATATTGTATTCACTTTTGTAAATTTTCCAATGTTATTAGGAATTTTAATGAGTCAATTTAAGTCTTAAGGAAGACCGTCAAAAGTTTTTTAAGGCCTTGGCACCATTTTGCGTGATTTGCTGTAGAAGTTAGGATATTCAAATTTTAATTGTGAACTCGAGCTTATTTCAAGGTCTCTTTTTCTCTGTCAGATACCCTTATGCAGTGCTGTGACCTATCTCAGCTGTGGTACAGAGAGTTTTTCCTGGAGATGACCATGGGCAAGAAAATCCAGGTAAAACTTAATAATTACACATACGTAAACTGCTAAATCTGAAAAGTGTGTGCTTCTTACTCTTGCCTACTTTTAATCAAGCTTGGAGCTTTCTTTCTTTTCTATTCAGAATGGTTTTTTATGCTCGTAGTATTCTGGCCTTTTTATGTTTTTATCTGAAAGCATGTGACTTTTTATTTTTCTCTTGTCATGTTATTATTTTATATTTATATTTATCTTTTTTGTCTGTAAAAGCTTACTAGACAGGTGCACTTTGCTTAACTTCGTTATTTATATTACAAAATTGAGCTCATTCAAATCTATAGCCTTGCAAATATGTCTTCTTCCTTTACTTCCCATTTTCCTGCACATGCTTCGCAACTGCTTGCATTTCTAGTGTTCTCAAAATCACCAGCACACTGCCGACTGCAAAAATATCATGCAGATGCAGAGGAGAGTACAGGTACAAGGCAGAGGGATAGAATAATGGATAGATTTAGAGATATATCCCATCCAAACCCATTTCACATGTCTATAGCTTTTAGATTTAGTGTTTTGAATCTTTTAATTAATGTCATTTGGTTATAAGTCAAACCAATAGAGGTGTTTCAGTAGGTCAGCAGTTTGTACAGGGTACCATTTCTGTTACTGTTTAGTTATAGTGGGAAAGTATTACACTATTGTCACAAAGAGTAGCAGCATGGATGCTGTATATTTTAGAGATCATATTCTTGTGCATGGCTGTAGAAGGATTAAAGGTAGGAGACATTTACATTCTAGGCAGTAGGGTTTATTTTATGGTTATGTATTTAGGAAAATATCTTTGGCTAAATTACTGGACCTTTTGACATACACAAGACAAGAAGCATGTAGGCAAAAGGTAATCCTGATAAAAGTAAAAGTGCTATGATAATTGTAGTATAGATTTTAGTTTAGCTTTGGTTATAGCGAAATATATAGTCAGATGAAATATCATAGAGATCCTAGTAAGAAACATGATTCAATTTTAGATATATATGTAGAATTTAATGTAGCAAAACCTTGTTGCATTTTCACATATGTTATTATGCTGATTTTTTTCTTACGTTTTTTTTTTCTTTTTTCACAAGAAAAAACTTTTAACTGTTTTCCTTGCATTATGACCAGAAAGATTGTTTTTATTTACAAGTACTTATCTTTGATCATATTAATGAAATTCTTGAATGGGGTTGCAGCACATGGTGTGGGTTTTCTTCTCAGTCTGCTAAGAGGATATCTGAAGCAAAATAATCTGCTTTGATCAAAGTCAGTAGAATGTTCTCTAGTTTTGTGATGCAGTATATCAAATTGAATCACAAGACAGTCATCATGTACAACCATGTACAAATTACACGTTTTATTGCACCATGCATTATATTAATTCCTATGAAACCATTTATAATATTACGATATTTTTAATCTTATTATTTTGAATTAAATTTAAAATTAAAGTTATGATCCCACTGTTTAGTGTAATTTATGGATGTGATTTTTTGTTTCCAGTTCCCCATAGAGATGTCTATGCCCTGGATCCTTACTGATCACATTCTGGAGACCAAAGAACCTTCCATGATGGAGTAAGAAAACAAAGTCTTGTTAACTTATTTATAAAAATACTATTGGTAAAGCACAGATATAATTCTTGTCAATGCTTTCTATTTCTCACTGGATATGCATAGTGTGTGGAAATGATTATAGTTTTAGAGTTACAAAAAAAAAAAAAAATATATATATATATATATATATATATATATATATATATATATATATATATATANATATATATATATATATATATATATATGTCTGCTTCCTATTCCTTGTTAGTTTGGCAAGCTAACTAAATATGAATATTGAAAGTTAGTTTTCATTGTTGGGTTTCATTGATTTGCAGGCAGGAGGTGGATACAGTTTTTGCTCCACTTTTCTGGCTGGTGTTTTCCTGATTAATCACAATGAAATGAGACATATCAAATGGTTCAATCACACTTGTTCACATTTATTTATTTATTTATTCTGTTTTTATTGACATTTTCAGATACATTCTCTACCCATTAGACCTGTACAATGACAGTGCCCACTATGCTTTGACCAACTTCAAGAAACAGTTCCTATATGACGAGGTGGAGGCAGAGGTCAACCTGTGTTTTGACCAGTTTGTTTACAAGCTCAGTGACCAGATCTATGCTTACTTCAAACACCTGGCTGGCAGGTAAACTTTTGTAATCAAATTTCACAAGAAGTAAAAATGTTAGGTCATTCATTGACAGAATTAAGCATATATACTTATTCTCTGTGTAAGATAATTTACTTAATATTTGTATTGCTATTATTATGTTCAAGAATTATTTTGAAATATCCTAAAATATTTAGGGCACATTAAGACAGTTATCAAACTGAAGAAAATTCGAAGAAAGGCTGGTGAAGCTTTGGAAAAAATTTGGTGATTTTACCTATATGATAAAACTCTATATGATATTGACCATAAGATAAAAACGTTATATAGGGTGCATTGAAATTTTTAATCTGCCTGCTGTTTGCTCTTCCACATGATAAGCCCAGATTGCAAATTTGTTCTTCAGTATTATGTTGGACAAGAGATTTAGAGCAGAATGCTTCAGCAATTCCATGAAGATTGCCTATCCACCAGCCAACAGATATGTTACACTGATGAAACAAAGACATGTGCAGGTCGGTAGTCATTGTGTCTGGATTGGTAGCATTGGAACAAGCATATATGAGGATAATGTCATGAAATGAGTTTGGGAATTGAATATTTTTTGTTGTGGGAATGATTCGTGGCAATTTTGTGGATATTCAGTTCATCACATCATCTCCATCTATAAAAGCATAATAATTTCAGTTTGAATCAAGATTATCAATCACGCTAGCTCACTTTCTTTGTAAATAAGGAAATATGCATTGATCTTGTGTTAGATTGTTTTTTATTATTAATACTTTTAACTGATTTTTACTGTAGATTTTGGGCCGCTCTATCGACCTGAATCGGTTGATCAGTCAAAGGATAGGTGCTGCTCTACAGAAGTCCCTAGACACAGCCATCACCAAGTTTGAGGGTGGAGACATCACTGGCATTGTTGTGAGTAGACTGGTGTATTGAGAACACTGCTCTCTAGGCTCTGGTGGCCTATATGGAAAAATAAGGCCTCAACGTTGCACTGAGAAATTTTAGGAAAAATAGCTGGGTCAATTTTGTTTAAAACTACGAAGAATATGTTTGGATTGTCACAGCTATTTGCAGTTGATTAGTAGTTTGTATATATTTATATATGTATGTATAAAATACTCAGAATTGACCATGGTTTGGATTATATCTAAGTTGATGGGGGTTAAACTTTATTCATATCCAATTCCCAGGAATTAGAGGGACTGATAGAGGTGAACCGCATGACACACAAACTTCTTGCCAAGCACCTGTCACTGAATGATTTTGATGCAATGTTTCGAGAGGCGAACCACAACGTGTCTGCACCCTATGGCAGAATCACCTTGCATGTATTCTGGGAGTTGAACTATGACTTCTTGCCAAATTACTGCTTCAATGCTGCAACAAATCGGTAAGTTTTTCTTTTATTTGCTACTATTTGTTTAAGTNGGGGTTAAACTTTATTCATATCCAATTCCCAGGAATTAGAGGGACTGATAGAGGTGAACCGCATGACACACAAACTTCTTGCCAAGCACCTGTCACTGAATGATTTTGATGCAATGTTTCGAGAGGCGAACCACAACGTGTCTGCACCCTATGGCAGAATCACCTTGCATGTATTCTGGGAGTTGAACTATGACTTCTTGCCAAATTACTGCTTCAATGCTGCAACAAATCGGTAAGTTTTTCTTTTATTTGCTTCTATTTGTTTAAATAAAAAAAAAAAAAAAAAAAAAAAGACCAAAAAAGGAGATTGAAGCAATTTTGATTTTTTAATTAGTTTTATGATGAATATTTTGGTGTTGCAGGTGCTCTTTGAAAATGGAAACTACTTTTCTCAGGCATTTATCTTGAACACGTGTCTTTTGAATGAACTTATCTCATGGACCATAATTTAGCTCAGAAGTTATAAATATGTGCACAATATTTGTATATTCCTTAAAAAACTGATTTCTTGATGATGCCAGCAAATGAATTGAGTCAGTTAAACAGCACATACTGCACTAGGATCCCTTACTTAACCCCAGCCACCAATTTCATTTAAATTAAACCTATTTCACATAGTATGTAATTTAGCACCTAATGTAGTTGACCCCTTTTATCACCAAAATCACAATCAAAGCATGGGATATGTACCCGGAAATGTGTATTGGAAATGGTGATATATAGGTCAAGCTCATAGCTGAACTAAACTTGGATCAGGAATATGTCACCAGAAAACCGTATCACATGTGCACTTACCACCAAGCCTCAGATTTTAATGTCCTGTGTTTGGTCATCTGGTGATGTCATTTAGACTATTGCTGGTCTAAGTTAGTCCACATTTGAACATGACCTATGCTCTTAGATAAGATAGTTCCAATAGATAGCATTTCCTCTTTAGATGGTATTGGGTTATAGAAGCTTTAGAAAGATAAATGGGCATAATGAAACAGAGATGAAAGAAGACATGAGCAAAAAAAAAAAAAAAAAAAGTGAGAGCAAAACTGAATGGGAAATGCATCGTTCATTACAATCGTGGGGAATTTGAACTAGGCAGGGCCCCTGAAAAAAAAAAGGTCCCATGAAGCTGTTAGATGTATACATGTTGTTTATTATTTTAAGTTTGTAACTGATAATTTCTGTGCTAAAACTTTTCAATTGTTCAGTATTGTTTTTGTGTGTTCCTTAATGTCATTGTCAGTGATATGATTGAAATAATCAGTGGAAATGTTATAATCGAGTATAGTATTTTTTTCATTCTTTACTTCTTTAAATGTCAGCCTGTGTAGAGCACATATGCGAACCTTGCACACCTTCCACAAATAAACTTGAATTTATAATTGGTAGTTTATATGAAAAGTTGACAGTAAGAAGTTTTACAGTTTAAATAGTACATGAAAAGTTGACGGTGAGAAGTTTTGCTTCAATGTTATGTTCAGTTGATTTGAGTAGCAATTGAAACTAACCTAACTACACAGTTAAGAAAGGCATTTTAAAAGAAGTGGAAGAAGCTGTAATAAAGGTCCTAAGATAGAAACAAGTGCAAACAGTGTGTATGTAGTCCAGTTAAAATGTTGGAATTGTAGTCATGGTAGCACATCATTGTCATGGTAACTTAGAATCCTGCTCCATATATGGTATAGTCATAAAGTTAGACAATAAATGACTGGGTTTTGCTTTTCATTTGAGTATTAGAGATGGTTTAATTTGGGAAAAGTGCTTTTGGTTGAGGAACAACATGACATGGCGACATAAACACAGTTCCATGGAGAGTCTCAGATCACAAAATTTGAACCATGTTTTATGTTTCTGGTTATCTGACTTCATGTTTTTGGCCAGAACAAAAGCATGGGTTATTCATGTAATTGCAAATTTGTACCTGTTTTTTAGCTTTCACCACAAGGATATAAGGTAAATGCAGAGTGGAGGGAAGTTTGGGTAGATTTCCTGAATGTTCTAGCATTATTATCAAAAATCTCCTTTCACATATTGAAATCTGACTTAGTAATTGAAGTTGCAGTTTTCTTCATAATTTGTTGTAGCAGCAGCTGCATCAAGAATGGCCAAAAAAAGTCCTGTTTTTTTTTCACGGCAGTTGCAACAGACAAATAACAGCATTTGTGCTAGCATGAGGCTTTTTTGTTTGTGTTTTGATGGCTTTTCTCCTTCATATTTTGATATGTGATGTGGTTTGATTTTTTCCTTTTTACTTTGGTGTCACTCAAGTTTAGATTCTTTTATGCAAAAATTCATAAGTTTCTTTGCAGTCTTGAGAACACCAAAATATAAATGTGCTCCCAATGAAAGCATTGATGTTTGGTTTAAAAGAATTATGAACTTGCTCTCATAGGAATCTCAACTTGAGTGTCTGTTTAAGTTCTTAAGAGCAGTTCCACTATCCCCAAATCCAAGACTGAATATACAATCAAGAATATATTTTATAGAGATTGTATTGTATATTTAGCCTTAGATATATTCTATTGAATTGCTGATGTCATATGTAATGGTGTTGTACAGATTTTGTATTGTACTGTGTGGTTTGAATATTATCTTCTACAATATGTGACAAAAATTTAGTGTTTATGATGAACTAGCATATAGAATATTTCCCATATAAAGATTCTGATGTTACTTCAGCTCTGAACTTTTGGGGGGTATTTGAACTAAGTTTACAAGAAAATATTATTTTACTCACTACTTTCTCTCCACTATTCAAGGCATGATAAATTTATTACTTCAAAAATCATTTTTATAACATTAAAATTTAAGTTTATTCAAGTTATTTCGGTATGTGGAGTTATGAATGAACAGATCTATTTGGGGGTTCTAGGGGAAAACAAACTTAGCTTATTAAAGAAAAATGTTTGCTTCTTTTCTGTTGTTAACATCATACAATTAGATGAAATGAGCATTTGTTATAGTGTCCCTTCAAACTGATGTGGGAGACAGAAATATAGAAATTTCAAATATGTGATTATGTGGTCTTTATTAGGGTTAAGTTCTTGAGTGTGTGAAGGAATTTTGTAAAGTTAAAAAAATGAAATAAGAAGAAAAATTAATAGACAAGTGGAAATAATAAAAATGTGACTATTATCCTAACCAATTGGCAAGTTATTGAAAAGACTAAAACTTTTGTATTTACTGCATGTGCATGCAAAGCTAAAATCTGAATTTAAAGTTGACTTTCTCTCTCTCTCTCTTCTAAATAACTCTAACATGGGTGAGGGGGCAATATCACCATTTATTAGGGGTTTCTAGTGATATTCCAGTTTAAACAAGTACTTGTTGGTATATTCATAATGATTGGGTATAATGCATAGTGTTTGGATATGTTTTATTTAACAGGAATGGTATCTTTGGAAACCTGGAATCCCCAGCATGCCGTGTTAGACCTAACACATCTACAGACAGCAGGGACCTTAGATTCCTGTTTGAATTATAATCATTGTTCAAGTCATGGTCTTACTTTAGTAAAATGTATACTGGCTGATAAATTGTCATATAAGTTGCAGTGTATAATAATGTTGATAATTCTTGAAAGTCCCCTGTAGTTTAAGATTAAAGGGATAATAACTATTTGTATGAGATCTTTATTTCACAATAAAAACATTGTGAATAACTCATAGAAATATAATATATTCTGTTTTACCACAAAAATGACAGTTATAGCTATTATTCTGATATCTGAGCTTGTCTTTAGACCACGTGACCCCCATTGATGGCTATACTCTGTTAAAATCTCTTAAGTGATTTTAACAAAAAACCAAACTTTTTAGAAAAAAACCAGGGACTAACTTTGAATGTAAAAATGGATTCATTAACCATTGGTTAGTATGGGAAAATTGTTGTTTACTCCAGGAAAATTCATTTTTTGGCCGAAACGAAGAGTTATTATCCCTTTAAACATTTTTAAGTTTTGTGTATATGGACAAAGGTTTCAAAAGATATAGCACCTAAGTAGGATAGTTCAAACGAAATAAATACATCACAATTTGAAATGGTGGTCTTTAAGGATGATAATAATTTATCAAATTTGTTAAGATGCTGTAGCAAGAAGAATAAGCTGTCCAATCTCTGGATTGACACACTCATTTTCAATTTGTGCTTAAGATAATACAAAGAATAAATGGTATTCATATAAATTATTCAAAATTGCTAATAACATTTTAGTCGAGGTTGAACATTTTAACAATTCGTCTAATATGTGCTTACAAACAGCATGATTTGTGCAAACACCAGAAAATGTCAAGAATGATTTTCAAGAATGATGTTGTTTTAAAAGGCACTTTTCATTTTCCCATTGCAGCATCCACTTGTTGATTGATAAAATATAATCTCTGAATCACTAGATCTTCTTCCAGCTGGTCCACCAATTTCATATTGCACAGTTATAAATTTTGACAACCATTCAAGATATCATTAGATTTTTTTCTCAGTGAATGTGCACCTTTTCATTATCTTGGTTTCTACAGTTACTATTACATCTTTCTCTGTGTTATATTAATAATTTTCTTATTGCTGGCATTTCAGCTTTGTGAAGATGTCTAAAATCAGTTTTGTCCAGCCTGTGCAGAGAGACAAGCCCCCAAATGTCCCTAGTCATCATCTCTGGGGCACTAAGGTACATGGAACTAAAAAAGATGTGGCTTTTTCTTTATGAATTTTCATTCAGACAGGAAAGAATTGGCCCAACTGTCATCATACGATGGCCATTTTTATTAAAGTGACAGTAGATAGAGTCTAATATGTCTTGTGTATTATGTATGATTTAACATTAGAATTCATCACAATTTTGACTGAATATTGTGAAAAATTAATTTTATAGTTTTAAATCAGTATTGTAGAATAATGTTTGATTTGCTTTTTTCATTTAAAATGTTTTTTACACTAGATGCTATGTATATTCTTTTTTCCTATAATCAAAGTCCATTATTCAATATTGATGCAGAAAATTTTGATAGGACTGTCTTGTTTCAGGCTTTGAACACATCATACAGTGCCATCTATGGTCTGTACAGTAATTTTGTTGGTGCGCCTCACTTCCGTGCTTGCTGTCGTCTGCTGGGATACCAAGGCATTGCTGTTGTCATGGAGGAATTGCTGAAAATCATCAAGAGCTTGGTAAAGATTCATTAAACTAACTACATTTATTCTCTGGACTTAATATCAAATTATTTAGATGTTCAAATGATCAAAATGTTAAATTGATTTTAGTATAATTAGCTTCCAAATGATATCTATAATAATTACTTTTAAGATATCCCTTTAAACTATAGAGTCTGAATCATGATCAAATGTAACTGTTGTATCCTGGTCTTCATATCAACAAGTTTAGAATTGCTAAATTTAGTTTAATTAAATATTTAATTTGTGTTGATATGTAATATGTTCTTGTCCTTATACAGCTCAATGGCACCATCCTGCAGTATGTGAGGACATTGATGAAAGTGATGCCCAGTGTATGTAAACTACCCAGATATGACTATGGCTCTCCAGGTAAACAGATCTGTTATACTCAGTATGTGCAAATTGCCCATGTGAGAACTAAAGATCAGCTTGTTGTTCATATAACATGATATACTATGTCTTGCTCAGATCTGAAGAAGTGTTTGTTTACAACCTAGGCAGGCAATTCAGTGAGCTGATATTTGATTAAATTGATTTTGAAAAAAGTCATCATTTTGAGTTTAGCTGCAGTATTAGGTTTTGCTGTGGAATTATTTAACTTACATATACTGAAGTTTTGATGAAGAAAATGAATAAAATGCAACATCTGTCTAAATCAACAGAAAATCACACATACTGCAGGAAATATGAATGTCATATCTTTTTTGCCTGCATATTTTGTAGGTGTACTTGGGTATTACCATGCTAACCTAGAACCCATGATCCAGTACCCAGATCTTAGAACTGAAGTCTTCCAAACCCTGCGTGAGGCAGGCAATGCTGTACTCTTCTGTATGTTGATGGAACAGAACTTGGTAAGTTGAGGATGGGATCAATTCTGTACAAAAGAATTTGAAAATGTTTTATGTTATCCTGTATATGTTGAGGTCAACAGAAAGAATATAAATGTATTTATTTTAGAAAAGGTTTAAGAATCTTCATTGGGAGACCAATAGCAAGTTAAGGCATTTAATGCCACCATATTTGTTTCAGTCTCAAGAAGAAGTGAGTGACCTGAAACATGCTGCTCCATTCCAGAACATTATACCAAAACCTTTCCTCCCACCTAAAGGTAAGCAAGGCAAACAGTTGCCTAATGATTTCATTGGGTGATCTCTTGAATATTTTCTCTTTGTTTTCAGAAAACTTGGCATTTTCAAAAGGTTTAGTCATGAACTGAATCAAGTTATGAAAAACTTGAAAACCTACTTTTAATTTTCAATTATAGAAGGGGAAACAAAGAAGGAAAAAGAGACAGAGCTGAAGGGAATAATGAAGAAATTGGAGGCGAGATATGCTGCACTGCAGGTCGTTCCCGTCATCACAAAGTTGGGCACAAAGCAGGTACAGTTTTTTTTTTTATTTTACTCATAGTAAAGAAAAATGTGCAGGCTTTGCTACAGTTTTGTTACTATTTGACTAGATGCCAATACCTAGTTTGAGCTTATATTTTTACAAGAAAAGTCAGCAGTGAAATGGTCTTTGCAAAGAATTTGACTGATAATGACTTAATCACTTTCTAAACTTAAAGATGAGAAGAATTCATCTAATTAATAAAGAAAGTGCACTTAAGTCTTTTTAATTTGATCATTCTTCAGTTTCTTTTCTCTAATTATATAATTGTAATAGTCTTAAAAGATTAAAGTGCTTATTTCATTGCTGTGGCAAAGTCTTTTTATTGCCACATATAGACTGATGTATTTCAGAGACCCAAGGATGACTTGACCTTTTTTAATATAATATGTGGCTGAATAATAAAATGACTTTTGACCTCTTCCAGCAAACTGACATAGCAGCTGAGGGAGATCTGCTCACCAGAGAGCGCCTCTGTTGTGGGCTGTCCATGTTTGAAATTGTTCTAACAAGAATCAAGTCTTTCCTGGACGATCCCATCTGGAACGGCGACCCGCCACCCAATGGTGTGATGAACATTGACGAATGCACAGAGTTCCATAGGCTCTGGAGTGCTATACAGTTTGTATACTGTATGCCAGTGGGCCACAACGAATTCACTGTTGAGTAAGTATGTGATGATTGTGTTGTTAACAGGGGGGGGGGGGGGGGTCTGTGTCTTCAACTTGTAAATAGGATATTCAGGTATTTGCGGTAAATTTTAAGTGAAAGGAGTATTTGAAGGCTTGCACTATGTAATTTGTGATTCTTAAATTAACAAAATGAGAAAGAATATTCTGATTGTGAATCTTTATTTAATAATCTTTGTTAGATTTAGAAAGTTGTCTTTTTGCCAAAAAAAAAAAAAAATGTAATAATGAGAAACTAATTGATTTCTGAACATTTCAGACAACTGTTTGGTGAAGGCCTGAACTGGGCTGGCTGCACACTGATAGTGTTGCTAGGGCAACAGAGGAGGTTCGAGGCTTTAGATTTCTCCTACCACGTCCTCAAGGTCAATAGAGTGGACCAGAAGGATGAACCCATTAGAGGCATCGTAAGTTGAAAATATTTAGATTAAAATTTGATTTTGGACCAATGATTATTAAGACCATGATCAATTTAATGAATATTTACTATGAGCAAATATAAATTTAAAAAAGGCGAAACTTGCCAAGACACATTTTACATTTATTGTAGTTGTAGATCAGCTGAGGAGTATGGTTGATTTTATAATCTGATTTTGGATTTTTATTATCATGGTTTCTACTTCAAATTCACACATCTGTCTTGACAAATAGACCCCAGATCTGCCATGTTTATTTTCATCAGTTATTTGCTGTATGTTTTCACTATCATTTCAATAATCCATTACAGCAATTGAAACGTATGGTTGACAGAGTCCGCAAGTTCCAGATCCTCAACTCTCAGATATTTGCCGTGCTGAACAAGTACCTGAAGTCCAGCGATGCAGACAACCTTCCTGTGGAGCATGTCCGCTGTTTCCAGCCACCTATCCACCAATCACACCAGACAACAATATAATAGGCATTTACACTGTGCTGAGGTTTAGGTTAATAACATAGACTTCTGGGTAGTTCTTACATTGGTCAGAATAATTATTGAAAGGCAGTTTTGAAAGGCACTATTGTATATTATTTAAATTCTGAGTTTGCATTAAAGAGTGTCATCTTGGATCATAGGATGGAAGGCAATTGCATGGCTAATTGAACTTTTCAAGTGTTTGTATTATTAGACTAACTTACATAGAAGACCCTTCTAAGGAACCTATCCAGATCATCAATGTCTTCAATGGGGAGGTCTTTGCATTAAATCATGCCACATCCTGTGTAAGTGGAGGCAATGAACCAGGACTGTTCCACCTGTTTTCAGACACTCTTCAAACTGTGAAGCCATAACACTCCACAGATCACCAACACCACATTCTGCTTCCACTTATGTTTTGGTTTTGTTCTGCTGTTAGGCCACAAGATAATCCTGTTAGATGCCAAGTAAGAAACCTGCTGTCCACCATCTGGACTTGTTTTATATTGCAGCTGCAAAATATATCAAAATAATATAAACAGCATAATAGCTACCATGTAACTATTTTGCTGAGATTAAATATTGCAAGGCAGTCTGTTGTTGTTTCTTATTGTAATAGGTTTCACAGAAATGTTTAACATGTATTGGTGTTTTGAAACCAGGTAATGTTTGCTGATGTGTTGTGTATTTGAGACAAAGGAAATGTAGTTGTAAAGGTTTTTATATCAGACCTCTGAGAGGGATATCCGTCTCATTTACAGTATTACTGAAACTGGTTGACAATATTCTTGGGCTCTTCTGGGAAAATTTGTATATTGTAGGGCACTGAACTCAGAATATTGCTTTTTGTGATAGAGTGCAGTGGATAGTACACCCGCCAAGATTTAAGTCAGAAAAAGTGCAGTTTTCCGATTTTTTTTCTTTGGAATTACATATGCTTTTTGGCAAAGAGACAATGATGCAGTGAATCCAGGCCTTCTGACTGATGCATTATGCATCATGTTTGTGCTTTGACTCTCTGGGTTCACAGTGACGAGCTTTGCCAGACTGAATTTAAAGATGGACTTATGCTACAAATAGCTGCAAGTAGTTGTATTTTAGTTTGTGGGAAACATTTCATGTTGTAGTCGTGTCCATGATGTCTCTGAGGTTAATGCTTTTCTGCTGACATATTGTCATTTGATACATTTTATTTAGGAATGCAATGTTTTCAAATTGTGGCGGTCTGCTGTAATTAACCCCTTATCTCTTTGGGTACTTTGTGTTAGAGGTTGTCCAGAAGTGTTTTGAACATGGCACAGTTATTTATAAGAGTGCAAAAAATTAGTACTTAGAAAAGTGATAGATGTAAGTGTCGTTGTAGTGAGATATTCACAGAGATTTCTGAAATTATCTGTACCTTGATAGTTGATAAAGAGTGAAGACATACATAAAATTTACATTTATCAGGATAGCTGCGGGATGACAAGATTTGGCCCAGTTGATGTGCAAATTAAAAGAGCCTTTTTATTTCTCTTTCCCATTTCCTAAATGTAAATTCTATGGTTTTGTTTTTAGGAATCTGAGACAAGTGAATGATATTGTTAAGAAGAGAAACCCTTTATCACTTTAACTTATTGACACCTGATATTTCTATTTCAATTTAGGGAGGGGGGATCTATGTAGTGTTCATGGGTAACCAAGTCTAGAATTACTGCGACTTATGTGGTAGAGACATTTGACAGTAAAGAAAGTGCTTTGCAATTAGTAGACGTAGTTTATACATTTTTATACAACTAGTATACTAGTATCACATTAATTATTAAATTGTAAATTATTCTAGCTACATAGATTTAAAATGAAAATAACAATGAAATAAATAAATGTATAAAATCAACCAGTCTCACCTTATTTTCTAACATTTGAATAAGCTTTCAAAATAGCAAATGCCATTTTGCTATCAGCCGTTTCACAATCAAGGGTACAAAATAGGGGTCAAATTGAGAAAAAAATGAACTCTGATGCATTTGTTTAATTTTGTAACAGGTAAAAAGAATAACAAGTTCAAAAAAGACATCGTGTTCTTTACACCCCATCCCAACAACATTGCTGACCCAGATTCTACCAACTGGTGAACTTATGCTTTAAAGAGGAAATATTTCCTGACTCGTTCAAAAGTGCAGTAATCAAACCTCTTCTGAAAAAAAAAAACTTAGATCATAATGTCTTTAATCACTATAGACCTCTGAGTAATCTATCTTTCTTGTCAAAGGTGGTAGAATGAGTCATGGCAATGACGCTATTTTAGCATCTCAAACAATTTGGTGGAAAAAATGCAATCTGCTTATAAAGCACAACATGAGTTAGCTCTTCTGAGAATAAAAAATGACCTTCTGACTGGTGTTGACAATCATTCTGCAGTCTTACTAGTGCTATTAGATCTTTCAGCAGCATTTGATACAGTCGACCATGCCATTCTTCTATCATTTTTCGAGAAATCAGCTGGAATTAAGGACAAGGCTTTGTCTCTTCTAAGGTCCTATCTCACTGTTCACAGCAGATATCCATCAACGGTGTGCTTTCAGATCTTGAGCAAATGATTTTTGGTGTTCCACAGGGCAGCGTTCGTGGGCCAATTAAAATTTGCAATTACACACTACCCCTGGGTGCTATATACTACGATATCATCAAATTGGCTATCACATACGTGTATATGCAGATGACACCCAGTTGTACCTTAACTGTGATATTCTTAAGCCTGCAGATGCAATAACTAGAATGATATATATATATATATATATATATATATATATATATATATATATATATCAAACTCAAAGATTAAAAGTTTTAATAGCAGCTTCATTGGAATTATATTTTTGTTTTCTTTTTAATTTTTTATCAAACACTGGCATTTTTAAGATACGATTTTAAACTCCTACCCTCTTGAGGCCATGCACATTTTCTGAATTTCCACATAAGCAGTTGTATCTTTAAACATTATGTAATATTATTTTATGCGCTGTCACATTTTTCAAATATTGAGACTTTCATCATGTAGTTTGGTCTCTCATGGTCCTGAAACTGTAATCTTATTGAAGGGGTAGATTGAGACCATCCTCTGGGTCTTCCGGAAGACGATCAGATTTTCAAGTTTATATTGACTGGTATCTATTTTTGTCTGTTGGAGGACCATCAAGATGGAGGAAGGATCAACAAAGATACTTTGGAATACTGTTAGAAAATATCTCTGGATCCGCTCCTGTTAGTTTTCATGTTACCTGTTGTGCATGATTAAAATTCAGTGTTGACTGACTGTGCATTATAAGCATTATTTATTATTGCATCTTTATTTTCTGTTTTTTGTCTGTACATTTGACAGCTTTGCTGCCTTGTTGAAAATTTCACATAGAATTTCTGTAAGCATATAAAATTGCCAAATGAGAATGATAGAAAATTCTTCCTGTCTATGATTATTCATCATCATCATCATCATCATCCTCATCATCATCTAAATCAGAGTCTTCAACTCCAGAATCTTCTGTACCAGCAGATGGTGCAGCAGAAGATGACGAAGGTTCTGCCAAATCTGCAAAGAAGTCATTTTTCTGTGCTGCTTTATTCAAAGTCTTAGGTTTGTTACTCTTTTTGGCTTTCTTAGAAATGTCAACCTTCTCATCCTTCACATCTGTGATGTTCCAAAATTTGATTTTCTGATCATGTGAGCAGCTGGCCAGAAAAGTGCCATCCCTAGAAAGACTCAGGTTTTCTACTGGAAACTCATCATGCTGCCCCACACTGCCTAGGAACCTGTTAGGCAAGATATGCACTGCCCTGGAATAAAATTAAGTTATTATTTCTTAATAATTTGAGGTTTGATTTTTAAGTTGAACATCCATCAATGTACAATAAATTAAAAATAATGATAATCATATTAATATGAACAGTAATAGGTACTTGTGCATTTAATTTGTACAGTCATAAAACCAAGATATTTAAACACATTAAAAAAGTTGATACAGATGACAATAAATTAGACTGCAAAGACATATGCATCTTGCAACAGGTGGTAAAATATAAACACCCAAGTTTTCACTTCAACACAAAAAAACATTATGAAAATGCCAGTATATTAATAAGATGGCCATGGTTGGTCACAGTAGTACTGTTTAATCCTGTCTCACTCACCTAGCCAAAAGTCATCACACCTATATCTCAATTTGTCAATGATATTGCATATCAAGTGATTTAGAATGTCATTACCTTACAATGCCATCCATGGACCCCGTACATACAATGTCATCACTAATGGCTACCATACAGTCTATGGACATTGGATGACCAGGGAACCTGTCACTTATATTTCCCCACTGACCCCAATTAAAGAAGTTTAACACCCCTTCACCATCACCACATAGGAGTTTGCTGCCTCCCTAGAATATTAAAAAAACAACATTATCCAATATCTCAATTTTGATCAAAAACCCATGTTGAGTCAATGTCAGAAAAAAAACTGCCTAAAACAACTTCACGCAAATAATAAATTTCTTGTTCTTTCTAAATACAGACGATCATAGGGTTATCTTGCTATACAAAAATCAAAAACACCCATGCTCCCAAAAAAAGCACTTCCTTTGCACTGACATTCAGTACATTTTCTTGGCACTGTTACCTTGACAACTGCCAGTGACAGCATCTCTGATTCAAACAACTCTGACTGAAGCTCCATCTTTTTCTTCTTTATATGAAATGCTGTTAATGTGCCCTCACCACTGAAAACAAAAGAAAAGAGGATATATTTCCACGAAGACAGAAAAATTAACTCCTGGCATAAAATAGTTTACACGTTAAGCATAATTTTATGTATGCATGAGAAAGAGAGATACTAGCTAACTTTGGTTGAAAAAGTTGCTTTTCCAACTTTTTTGTGTGTATGCCTATACACAAGAATGAAATAGAGAAAGAGGGTTTTTAAGGATAAGGGAACAGTCTCTTCAATTTATGATGCTTCACCTTGATGCAACCAAAATCTTCCTCTGATCATCTATTACCATGTCACTGATAAATTCCTCACACTCTTTCAGCTCCATGATAGCTTTATCTTGCCTTCTGTCCCATAACTGAAAAGTGTACACAAAAGGTATAATACACAAATCCCAAAAATGCAGGAAATGCATTTACTAATATTATGAACCATAGTTAGAAAAGCAAGCTTTTTGTGACCAAAGACAGCTACAATCTCTCTCTCTCTCTCTCTCTCTCATACAACACTCTTTGTTGGTGTGTTCAATACCTTAATGGTGCCATCATCGTCCCCAGTGGCTACTTGGTTCTCATCTATGACCAGCATGCTGTATGGTGGAGAGCTGGAAAGATAACACAAATCCATGCCATCAGTATCATGTACTCATGTTTTTATGTGTGTCAGTGAGACAAATTCTGGCACCAAAATTTTGGTTTTGCAAATAATCCCAAAGGGCCTTATTTGCAAGTTTAGTCCTCAAATTTTCAAATTACTGTCTTAAAATGTGCTAGGACAAAAATTCAGCTAACAACCCATTATTTCTAATTACCACGAAACAGATTTACAGACTTCATATTTTAACATTTAAAAATAAACCAAATACATGACTGAGACCTAATTAATTTATCCAAATTGTTTTTGAGTAAATGTATTATTGTAGGCATGCCCTAATTTTTAAATTCAGTTCACTTTTGAAAATGAAGTCAAATAATTTTAGCATTCACACTTTTCCCTTAAAAAAATTAGTAATTTATTTAATAATTTATCTAATTTTTCTTTATGTGTACTTTTGTTGAAATGATGCCATTTTAATTAAATATCTAAGTCTGAAGATGAAAAAAAAAACAGTTTTATTACTCATGAGCTTTCTGCACACTCCTGACCACAGCTCCTGTGCTGGTGTCTATAACATGGAGGGACTTGTCCTTGGAGGTAGTGATCAGCTGGTCACCTGATGGAGAAAACTTCACACATCGACATGCCTTTTTGTGGTGGGTGAACGTCATCAGCTCATGGTTCTCCTCTGTGGTAGAATAGGAGCAACTGCGGAAGAAGACATCAATTATGGTTATCAAAAAATATTGTGGTTATTATAAGAAAATATTATAACATTGGCATACATCTCAAGTTCTTCCGCATACTATACCTTTCAATTGTAATTGTAATAATCAGTATTTTCTAAGCAACCTCTTACAAAATTGATTTTGTAAAAGAATAGTGACACAAAAGTTACATAGAGACCAAATAATAAAATGAAATTTCTTTTTAAGAATATATTTTTAGCAGATAGGTTTATAACGTGTTTCAATTACTGTTAACACTTTTATAGTACATGTAAAATCCAACTTTTAGTTGCAAGAAAAATATTATTAATTTCCATCCATATGTAACAATATTATTGTTTTTATTGGACCTACATTTTCACCTCTCCATCAATAAGACCTGCTGCTAAAACATCTTTCTGAGGGTGGAAACTTAGATCAACAACTAGATCTGCAAACTTGATCTCCTTTGGGGCTTCCCTCTCCTACAGAGCAACATAATTACACAAATCTGGTATTTGGATACATACCAACGGAAGAAGCATTGCATTAAATAAACAAGTTAACAATTAATAACACTTTTACACAATTTTCCAAAATGCATTTTTGAACGCCTACTACATTTGACAATCAAGTAAACGCAACTTCAAACTTAAAGTCAAGCGTTTTTGTCATTGATAATATTAAATGCAATCAAGGAAGTAAATTTACTTTCTTGACTGAATCAACTATGTAGTCTAAATCTGCATAACTCGGTTACAAGCTAAACATGGCCAGCAAAACGACAAAGCCAAAGGTGCCAGCATACAGATTTATTTAGACCCATTCTTTTTTCATATACAGAAACTGAAGCTTTGGTATGACTTCCTGTGCTGCCTATATAGTGACACGGTCATTTTAAACATGTCAACTTAAAATGTATACAGTGAAGTCCTCATAAATCCACATAAACATTGCATAAACAAATGTCAACGCAACACACGTGCACTCACTTCTGCCATGTTTCCAATCCCATAATCCTTTGAGCGCATGCGCGGTATTCGTTTCCGTTTAAGGGACTTATTTCTGTTTTGGGAGTACATGTAATTTATTTATTATAAAGAGCCGACTGGTTTTCATTTGATTTAACCGAAAACGTAGGAGCGATGGGTAAAGAAGAAGAAGAAACTGTTAAGGATGTCTTTTACCGTCTAGATTTTCGCACGTTTGGCATTGTGACAGTGAGTCTTCCAGCCGGCTCCCTGCTGTTTTCATTCCTCTGGGGTCTCATCTTCATACCCGATGAGGTCAATGAAACTGTCTGTAATGTGAGTACCTGTGCTTTTTTAAGTTGTTTATAGTAAGTGGGCTTATTCCACCAGGTATATCTAGAATTTTTCCATTGATGGATATGGTTTTAACTCAATTAGACTTACTACAGGTATGGTATTAAAAGAGGCGTGGCTACCGTAATTTACGTCTAAAGCAGTACCATAGTTACGAGTGAAGACAGCACTTTCACTGACACTTTTCTTATAAAAATAGAGACTTTCTTCTGATTTTGAAACATGAGTAATAAGGTCATTTAAGAATCACACACTTTTTCAGTGAAATTGTGGTTCATTCTATGTATTATTTGCCTTCAAATTCATTTGGTGGATCCTAGTTAAAATTAAGTAACGTAAATGAATTATATTATATTATAATAATCTAATAATGGAAATAAGTTTTATATCACCAAGAAGCGACAGAAAAAAAGGACTTTACACAGTTATACATGCTTTTATTTTTTGTTAATATGTATTGCAGAGTTATGCTGATAGTGTTATCAAAAATTCACGAGCTCATTTGTTATTTACTAAGCATGCATTATTTATTTACATGCATGTATCTAATTTCAGTGTACCAACTTCATTCCCTCCATCAGTGCAGTGACAGGTGTTTCTCCGGGGAAATATGTTTGGAGGATCTGTATTGCCTTACATTCTGCTCCAAGATTTATAATAGCTGTTCTCCACTATAACTACTACCTATCACTTATACACAATGTGAAGCCAAGTTATAGGCCTTTTTACAAGAAGTTTGTCAGCCTGAATTTTTGGTTGAATACAGTGGAGAATGCGTGTCTAGTTCTTGTCAGCTATATATCAAATAGGGAAAATTATCGTAAGTATGAAATGAAAAAGCTTATGATAACATAAAGTGGACCATGTTTTTTCAATTTACATTTAATAAATTGAATTTATATTAACTGTGGTGATTTTTTTTTTTTTTTTTGGGTGGGGGGGGGGGCTTAGCAAAATGTCTTTATGAGAAACATATATTTTATGCTTCCTAGTATTAATAGCATCATCACACTCTAGGAAGCATGTACTTTCTTTTTATATTTTCAGCTGTCCATGAGAAGATATTTGTGGTATTTATGGTCATGTCACTGTGTTATATGTTGACCAATACTATACTGTTTAATATGTCAAGACCAGAGAAGTGGACAGAGCTAGTAAGTCAAATTAGACTGCTTTTTCCTTTTCTCTCTCATTTATTTTCTTATTTCTTTTATCAATTATTAAAACCTACACTCTTTAATTTTATAAAACATATTGTGCACATACACCTCTTCCACCACAAATCACACCCACCCACACACAAACGTACATAAACAAACACACATACACACACACACACACACACACACACACAAAGACAGAGAGAGAATTGCTTGGCCTTCAGTCAGTAACATATTTGTTATAAATACTTAGAAATGAAGATGAATAACCACGATTGCAGTAGAAATATAAGAAGTCAACAACAAGAAACACACAAGAAAAACATTAACTTAATCTCTTTTTATCTTTCAGGACTTGAAATCATATGCTTTCAAAAAATATTTGTGGATAGCCATCATGATATCCACTGGAGTGCTGCTGTATTTCTTTGCTCAACATAGGCTGTTCTGTATACCTGGAGGTATGTGTGGCTCAAGGCAGATGCAAAACATTGCACAAAATGTTTTGCTGGCATTTCTTAAGGACCAGCTTGCTTTTAAACAAGAGGGCTTAGAAAATATGTAAAGCAATATTTATCTCTTCATTTAATTTTACTGACAACATTTTTGGGACAGTTTGCTTTAAAAAGAATTTACGAATATAATAGGTGACTTTTTGTTTTGTGATGAGCATCACAAAGTGGCCAACTGTTTTTGTTATCCAGCAGTTTTAAATATTAAAGAATACTTCTATTTAGATTGGCTCATATGATGATATAAGACCATTTCCATTTTGGCCAGTCTAAAACCAGTTCTGAAATCGAATTAATACAGAATTTTTCATTTTATCAAATACAGCATACCATGGTTTTAGTCCTTCAAGCATTTAACAAAATTTATTACCTTTTTTCACAAATTATCATAATTATCATTTTGTTTCTTGTCTTTTCAGCATTCAGCTGGTTTTCATTGTCCGAGTTTTTCATCGCCTATATCAACATGGCCTATCATGTGACTGCAATATGGGAGTTTAAAGACTCCCACTGGGTGAATGGAGTCTTCAGTCCTCCCCATGTAACCAATAACCACATCAAGTCTCACTGATCAGTTGCCTTAGTTGTGCCTAGCATACATGTCCAAATTGCCAGTATCATAGGGGTATCAAAACAGGGTGAAAATAAGGGTTCATAAGCCATTGATACTAGGAACACAAAAATCAACTAGCACATGTAACATTGCACATCCCATTGGCACTCTAGTTATGATGAGATTTTCTATACAAGTGAATTAAAATCTGGTCTGTGAAAACATTGGTACCAAAAGAAGTCTAATGTCATCTGTAGTTGCCTTGTTCAAACCTTAATGAGAGGGAAAGTCTCACCTGTGTATTAGTTTCTATGTTTTTACTAGCAACATGTATCAATAAGTGTAAATAACACTTGGTGTATTTTGGGTATTGGATGGTCAAGTATTTTTGGATATTTTGTATGCTCATTAGGGGTTTTATAGAGCTCAATTATAATAAAATTTTACAGAATTTATGAATGTAATTCTTTTGGCAAATTTTCTCAATTTTTCATGTGGAATTTAAGATTTGTCTTTCAGTGGANGATGTTGAGTCAATGTCAGAAAAAAAACTGCCTAAAACAACTTCACGCAAATAATAAATTTCTTGCTCTTTCTAAATACAGACGATCATAGGGTTATCTTGCTATACAAAAATAAAAAACACCCATGCTCCCAAAAAAAGCACTTCCTTTGCACTGACATTCAGTACATTTTCTTGGCACTGTTACCTTGACAACTGCCAGTGACAGCATCTCTGATTCAAACAACTCTGACTGAAGCTCCATCTTTTTCTTCTTTATATGAAATGCTGTTAATGTGCCCTCACCACTGAAAACATAAAAGAAAAGAGGATATATTTCCACAAAGACAGAAAAATTAACTCCTGGCATAAAATAGTTTACATGTTAAGCATAATTTTATGTATGCATGAGAAAGAGAGATACTAGCTAACTTTGGTTGAAAAAGTTGCTTTTCCAACTTTTTTGTGTGTATGCCTATACACAAGAGTGAAATAGAGAAAGAGGTTTTTTAAGGATAAGGGAAAAGTCTCTTCAATTTATGATGGTTCACCTTGATGCAACCAAAATCTTCCTCTGATCATCTATTACCATGTCACTGATAAATTCCTCACACTCTTTCAGCTCCATGATAGCTTTATCTTGCCTTCTGTCCCATAACTGAAAAGTGTACACAAAAGGTATAATACACAAATCCCAAAAATGCAGGAAATGCATTTACTAATGTTATGAACCATAGTTAGAAAAGCAAGCTTTTTGTGACCAAAGACAGCTACAATCTCTCTCTCTCTCTCTCTCTCTCTCTCTCATACAACACTCTTTGTTGGTATGTTCAATACCTTAATGGTGCCATCATCGTCCCCAGTGGCTACTTGGTTCTCATCTATGACCAGCATGCTGTATGGTGGAGAGCTGGAAAGATAACACAAATCCATGCCATCAGTATCATGTACTCATGTTTTTATGTGTGTCAGTGAGACAAATTCTGGCACCAAAATTTTGGTTTTGCAAATAATCCCAAAGGGCCTTATTTGTAAGTTTAGTCCTCAAATTTTCAAATTACTGTCTTAAAATGTGCTAGGACAAAAAATTCAGCTAACAACCCATTATTTCTAATTACCATGAAACAGATTTACAGACTTCATATTTAAATATTTAAAAATAAACCAAATACATCACTGAGACCTAATTAATTTATCCAAATTGTTTTTGAGTAAATGTATTATTGTAGGCATGCCCTAATTTTTAAATTCAGTTCACTTTTGAAAATGAAGTCAAATAATTTTAGCATTCACACTTTTTCCTTAAAAAATTAGTAATTTATTTATTAATTTTATCTAATTTTTCTTTATGTGTACTTTTGTTGAAATGATGCCATTTTAATTAAATATCTAAGTCTGAAGATGAAAAAAAAACTGTTTTATTACTCATGAGCTTTCTGCACACTCCTGACCACAGCTCCTGTGCTGGTGTCTATAACATGGAGGGACTTGTCCTTGGAGGTAGTGATCAGCTGGTCACCTGATGGAGAAAACTTCACACATCGACATGCCTTTTTGTGGTGGGTGAACGTCATCAGCTCATGGTTCTCCTCTGTGGTAGAATAGGAGCAACTGCGGAAGAAGACATCAATTATGGTTATCAAAAAATATTGTGGTTATTATAAGAAAATATTATAACATTGGCATACATCTCAAGTTCTTCCGCATACTATACCTTTCAATTGTAAGTATAATCAGTATTTTCTAAGCAACCTCTTACAAAATTGATTTAGTAAAAGAATAGTGACACAAAAGTTACATAGAGACCAAATAATAAAATGAAATTTCTTTTTAAGAATATATTTTTAGCAGATAGGTTTATAACGTGTTTCAATTACTGTTAACACTTTTATAGTACATGTAAAATCCAACTTTTAGTTGCAAGAAAAATATTATTAATTACCATTCATATGTAACAATATTATTGTTTTTATTGGACCTACATTTTCACCTCTCCATCAATAAGACCTGCTGCTAAAACATCTTTCTGAGGGTGGAAACTTAGATCAACAACTAGATCTGCAAACTTGATCTCCTTTGGGGCTTCCCTCTCCTACAGAGCAACATAATTACACAAATCTGGTATTTGGATACATACCAACGGAAGAAGCATTTCATTAAATAAACAAGTTAACAATTAATAACACTTTTACACAATTTTCCAAAATGCATTTTTGAACGCCTACTACATTTGACAATCAAGTAAACGCAACTTCAAACTTAAAGTCAAGCGTTTTTGTCATTGATAATATTAAATGCAATCAAGGAAGTAAATTAACTTTCTTGACTGAATCAACTATGTAGTCTAAATCTGCATAACTCGGTTACAAGCTAAACATGGCCAGCAAAACGACAAAGCCAACAAAGGTGCCAGCATACAGATTTATTTAGACCCATTCTTTTTTCATATACAGAAACTGAAGCTTTGGTATGACTTCCTGTGCTGCCTATATAGTGACACGGTCATTTTAAACATGTCAACTTAAAATGTATACAGTGAAGTCCTCATAAATCCACATAAACATTGCATAAACAAATGTCAACACAACACACGTGCACTCACTTCTGCCATGTTTCCAATCCCATAATCCTTTTGAGCGCATGCGCGGTATTCGTTTCCGTTTAAGGGACTTATTTCTGTTTTGGGAGTACATGTAATTTATTTATTATAAAGAGCCGACTGGTTTTCATTTGATTTAACCGAAAACGCAGGAGCGATGGGTAAAGAAGAAGAAGAAACTGTTAAGGATGTCTTTTACCGTCTAGATTTTCGCACGTTTGGCATTGTGACAGTGAGTCTTCCAGCCGGCTCCCTGCTGTTTTCATTCCTCTGGGGTCTCATCTTCATACCCGATGAGGTCAATGAAACTGTCTGTAATGTGAGTACCTGTGCTTTTTTAAGTTGTTTATAGTAAGTGGGCTTATTCCACCAGGTATATCTAGAATTTTTCCATTGATGGATATGGTTTTAACTCAATTAGACTTACTAGTATGGTATTAAAAGAGGCGTGGCTACCGTAATTTACGTCTAAAGCAGTACCATAGTTACGAGTGAAGACAGCACTTTCACTGACACTTTTCTTATAAAAATAGAGACTTTCTTCTGATTTTGAAACATGAGTAATAAGGTCATTTAAGAATCACACACTTTTTCAGTGAAATTGTGGTTCATTCCATGTATTATTTGCCTTCAAATTCATTTGGTGGATCCTAGTTAAAATTAAGTAACGTAAATGAATTATATTATATTATAATAATCTAATAATGGAAATAAGTTTTATATCACCAAGAAGCGACAGAAAAAAAGGACTTTACACAGTTATACATGCCTTTATTTTTTGTTAATATGTATTGCAGAGTTATGCTGATAGTGTTATCAAAAATTCACGAGCTCATTTATTATTTACTAAGCATGCATTATTTATTTACATGCATGTATCTAATTTCAGTGTACCAACTTCATTCCCTCCATCAGTGCAGTGACAGGTGTTTCTCCGGGGAAATATGTTTGGAGGATCTGTATTGCCTTACATTCTGCTCCAAGATTTATAATAGCTGTTCTCCACTATAACTACTACCTATCACTTATACACAATGTGAAGCCAAGTTATAGGCCTTTTTACAAGAAGTTTGTCAGCCTGAATTTTTGGTTGAATACAGTGGAGAATGCGTGTCTAGTGCTTGTCAGCTATATATCAAATAGGGAAAATTACCGTAAGTATGAAATGAATAAGCTTATGATAACATAAAGTGGACCATGTTTTTTCAATTAACATTTAATAAATTGAATTTATATTAACTGTGGTGGGTTTTTTTTCTTTCTTTTTTTTTTTTTTTGGTGGGGGGGGAGGGGGCTTAGCAAAATGTCTTTATGAAAAACATATATTTTATGCTTCCTAGTATTAATAGCATCATCACACTCTAGAAAGCACACTTTCTTTTTATATTTTCAGCTGTCCATGAGAAGATATTTGTGGTATTTATGGTCATGTCACTGTGTTATATGTTGACCAATACTATACTGTTTAATATGTCAAGACCAGAGAAGTGGACAGAGCTAGTAAGTCAAATTAGACTGCTTTTTCCTTTTCTCTCTCATTTATTTTCTTATTTCTTTTATCAATTATTAAAACCTACACTCTTTAATTTTATAAAACATATTGTGCACATACACCTCTTCCACCACAAATCACACACACCCACACACAAACGTACATAAACACACACACATACACACACACACACACACACACACACACACAAACGTACGTAGACACACACATA